AGGCCCTGTCCTCACCGACTTCACCACGTAGCTCAGCAGTTCCTCCTTGCTCAGAGGATAGTCTTCTTTGGCCTCAAAGCCCAGAGGCTCATCCCTACGGTGGGGGAAGGCAGGAAGGGACCAGTTCTCACCCACACAGGGCTGAGGGCTCCTCACAGCCATACCCAGAGACCCTTGCCATGTTCTGGCCAGCCTGGAGGGCCCTCGCCCCTCTGGCTCTCCAAAGCATCCACTCCATCTTTAACTGCCCCGCAGAGCCACACCAACCCTCTGGTCCCAAAGAGCCTCCCTAAAACCCTGCCTCCCATTATCCCCTCTGCCACATGGATTCTTCATCCCCTCCACCACCACCCCCAGCCCTGGGCCTCACAGGCTGTCAGGGAGCTGAGGCGGGGCCACCTTCTTGGGAAAGTCCTCAGAGCTCTGGCCCAGCACTATGAGGGCGGCATTAGCCAGGCTGGAAGAGGTGTAGGCCTGGAGAGAACAAGCCAGGGGTCAGCTCAGGCCCATCCCTGTGGCCTCAGGGTCCCTGTCCCCGGTGCACCGCCTGCCTCTCCACCTGGGTGTCTAGGTAGGCCTGCACCGTCAGGAGCTCCACCAGCCGCTTCTCGATGAGGCCCAGGAAGAGGCAGATGTCGCGGTCTCGCATGTATGTCTTGACCCCCAGGAGGTCATCCATGATGGTGCTGTCACACTGGGCCTTGGTGAAGAGCTGCTGGATGTCTGGGGTCAGGAGGACAGGCTGTCTTGATCTAGTGCCAGCTGGGTGCCAGCCCTCTCCTTCCTTCAAGTCCCCACTGCCCAGTTTTATGCAGACAGCAAGCAAGGCTAGAAGATGTCCCCCAGGACAGACAGCCAGGCAGTGGTGGGGCATCGCTGTGTGCCTGGCACAGGGCTCCAGACAATGGAAGGCAAACAGAGAGGGAGGGCAAAGGAATGCCTGAAGGCACCTCCCCTGGCAGACTTCCTCGCAGCTCAGCGAGAAGCACCCACTCCCATTCAGCTCGGGATCTCTCCCAGAGAAACACCCCCGTACACTTCTTTTAACTTCGCACTCCAAGTGCGCACAACTCCCTGGTTGAGCCACTGGACCCACTCGCACAACTGGCCCGTGCATGACCCGCATATATTTAGTTAGTTAACTGGTTATTGTTAATGAAGTAGAAGGCACCACAACCTTGTCAAAAATCTGCACCCAGCCCTGACCGGGTGACCCAGTTGGTTAGAGCATCATCCTGTACACCGAAAGGTTGTGGGTTCGATTCCCTGGTCAGGGCACATGCCTGGGTTGCGGGTTTGATCCCTGGTTGGGGCATGTACGGGAGGCAAGCAATCGATGTTTCTCTCACATTGATGTTTTTCTCTCTCTCCCTTCCTCTCTCTCTAAAAATCAATTTAAAACAACAAAAACATATCCTTGGGTCAAGATAAAAAATCTGCACCCAACCATACAGCATCCCCACCAGGTGTCCCTGTGCCTCCTGCCCCTGAGCTCCAGGCTCATATATAGAGTTTCCTGCTGGGGTCCCTCCCTGAACAACCCCCAGACCACCCACACTGAGCTCAGGGTCATCCCAACCCCACTCCTCTGAGGCTCCCCATCTCAGGGAGAGGCCTCACCCTCACCAGGCCAGACTCCGTGTGCATCACCCCTTACCCCCCACTGCCCATCAGTCTCATACTTGTGTCCCCTCTTCTTCTCCTCCCCCTAAATCCCTGTCCACCACTCTCTCCTGCTCACAGCCCTCCATGGCTCCCCAGCACCTCCAAGAAGCACCTGGCCTGGCATCCCTTCAGGATCAGGCCTCCACTCCCACCCGCACCCAGCCTTTCCACTCTGCACCAAGAATCCTCATGCCATGAATGCACCTCTAGGCCTTGGCCCCACCTTCTGGGAGCACCCCCTCCCCAGTTTTCCAGTTAAATGCTCATCCTTCAAGGTTAAGAATTAATGATGGATGGATGGATGGATGGATGGATGGATGGATGGATGGATGGATGGATGAATACTGGTGGGTGGATGATGAATGGATAAATACTGGGGGTGGATGGGTGAGGGATATGGGCTGGCTGGATTGATGGATGGATGGGTGGGTGAATAGGTAGATAAATGAATGCTTGTGGACGGATGGATTCATACTGGATGGTTAGATGGATGATAAATATGCAATGAACCAATAGGTGAGTGCGCACTGTCCTTCATGGAAATCTCCAAGTGACTAGCCCAGGTCCGGTCCCTCCACACACCCCATCACACCCTCCAAGATGAAGAAGTGGGGCAGGTGCTCACCAGCCTTGAGCTTCTCCAGCTGCCCCCGTAATTCCTGGGAGCGGGCCTGGAGGTTATCGGCCTCGGAGCGCACCTCTTCTGTGTTCTGCTGCAACGCAGCCTGGTGCCCCTCTTGCAGTGACAGCCGGGAGGCCTCACCGGAGCGCACCCTCTCCATGGCCTCCTGGATCTGCGGGGCAGGGACAGAACGCTGGGCCCAGCTGGGCGAGAGGGGGCTCACCAGCAGCCGGCAGAGGAGGAGGAGATGGGTATGGAGGCAAGGAGCAAGGGTGGGACTTGGGACATTGCTGGTCTCACTCACCTCCTTGATCTCCTCCTGCAGACGCTCTAGCTCTGAGTTCTGCTCGTTGATGAAGTTGAACTCGGTGAAGTTGCGTTCCTCCACTGCGGGGTCCAGGGAGACAGAGCCAGACAGTGGACAGAGACAAAAACAGAAACAGAGAAACACAGAGGCACACGGGACAGAGAAAGAGATGGTGAGAAAGACAACACAGAGACAAGACAGACAGGGACGGAGAGACATATATACGCAGAGAGAGGGGCCACAGAGAAAGAAACACAGAGAAAGTCAGAGTGAGAGGAAGAGAGACAGAGGGTCACAAAGAGACCCAGAAACAGCGTGAGAGACACAGGGAGGGAGAGCAAACCTTAGAGGTGGGTAGAAAGAGAAGGGAGACCCGAGAGGCAGACGCAACAGGGACACGGGTCGCAAGCCCAGGAATGACAGCGGGACAGGGAGGAAAGGGGAAAGGGACATGGGGGAGACGGGTGACAGACGCGCCCAGCAAAATCCGACAGAAACAGAAAGACAGTGATACAGACACTCGGAGGGGACGGAGAGATGCAGAGAAGAGGGAGACAAACGGAAGGAAGAGGAGAGAGACGGAGATGAGCGGAGAGGGGCAGGGAGGGCGCACGGTAAGAGGTGGGTAGAACCAGCCCGCTCCTCCCCGCGGGTGGAGGTGTCCCGGGGCCCTCGGTGACCGAGACAGAGCACAGTGTGCACCTGACAGGGGGCTGGGGCCGCGCCTTCCCCTCCCGGGCGCGCGGGCGCTCACTCTCCAGGTACTTGTCCACCAGCCGGTCCGGGTCGCTCTCCCCAGTCAGGTGGGACAGTTTATTCAGGGCGTCCTCGTAACGCAACACCAGCTTCTCCTGGGAACTCTTCCGGAGGCCGTCGGCCACCTCCTGGGCTGCGGAGAAACGGACAGTGAGGTCTGTGTCCAGGGCGGCCACTAGCCCGAAGGAGATGAGCCAGGGCCCCCGCGCGCCCGGATACTAGAGAGGGGCGCTCTCCAGCGCCCCCTGCAGCCCGGCCCCGGCCCTGGCCCGTGTCCTGCGGGACCTGGAGGCAGGCGCTGCGCCCCCCTCGGGCCGCCCGGCCTGCGGGGTGCAGAGGTGGCGGCCCGGTCTCACCGCGTTTCTCGCGCTTCTCCACCACGGCCGGATCCGGCTGCCGATCTTGGTTCTTGAGCTTGAGGAAGCGGTGCAGCTGGTCCAGATGCGCGATGTGCCGCTGCAAGATCTGCGTCTCCGACTCGTTCTGGGCCCCCTCCTTGTCCGCCCGCTCCCGCAGCATGCCCATCTTGGTCCTCGCCTCCTCCCTGAGAGAGGTCAGTTGGGTCAGGGAGATTGGAGGTTGTATCGGGGTCAACTGGGGGTCCCAGGGATGGGTGGACTCAGCCTGAGTTTGGGGGTGGATGGGACAGGTCAACCTGGTTTTCCCTGGGATGGGTAGGTTCAGTCTGGGATTGGGCGGTGGATGGGCAGGGTCAGCTGGAGTCCCAGGGATAGGGTAGAATCAGGTTGCTGTAACCCTAGAGTTGGGTCAGGATGAGCTTATGGAGCAGAGTCAGGGCCTGGGGGGTGCTAGGCCAGTAAGGGACTAAGGGCCTTGTCCACAGAGGGGCACTGCTGCAGCGCACGCTGATGAGGGAAACAATAAAATGGAGCAGGCCTTGCTAAGAGAGTAACTTCAGTTAGAGTCGGAAGCTCTTAGGGAAGTGCAGCCGGTGCACATCTCCTGCCTCAGTTCTCAGAGCTGCTATTAAGTTGCTACACCTGTTGCTAAACTAAGTCCAAGGCTGAGCCTCAAAGGCCTGGAAACATAAACCTCCCGGCACAACAGCTGCTACTCGGATTACAGGGACTTGCTCTCCCAGCCAACCTCCTTTGCACGAGACTGTGGCGCTTTGTGCTTTTGCCTTTCTTTGTTCCCTCCAGAGCCAGCCGAGTTGCTACCTGAACCTGTCTCCCTGATTGCAATCCTTTTGCTCATATAAAAGCTTCCTGTTCTTTGTTGCAGCCTGAACCTCTTCTTTGGGTAATAGTGCACGGGGGGGGGGGCACGGGG